ATGACAATTCCTTTATTACAACTATCAAAAGTAAATAATCCAATCATGTTTCTGGAAAAAGAAGAGCCACTTTCAAAGCAGGTTGCACAATTTGCTTAATCAGCTAATCAGATTTCATCTATAGAGTATTTTTATACAACCTAGAATGACAAAAATGTTTATTCAAAAGTTAAATAGATGAAAAAGCCCTCTATACATTCCTCAACAATCACGAAAAACATTACATCTCATAAAATGACTGAATTACTTTGATATTTTTCATATAAAACATTAAACATATGACTGAGGATAAGCAAAAACATACAAACACTTGAAAAATCTTAAAATTCATGAATTTTAAAATAATATTTAAAGACATTTAAAATTTATATCTTAAAATAAGAAGAACTGAAAAAGAAAATAAACCATGTCACAATCTGTAGGTGTTAGAGTTTATTTTTTCTTTTCAATTTTTGTTCTTAGTACTTTTTGTAGCTTGTAAAACTTCATGTCTTCTGTGTTCATTGTTATACTTTAGTCTTGTCATATCAGCGCATGCTTTTGTGCTACATATCTTGGTATATTGTTGTGTTCTGTCCTTCAAATACTGCAATTTTCTTCTGTTGAAATTGTTCTTTTTTTCTACGTTAGATAGCTTCTTTTTGTCCAAGCCTATATTTTGGTCTCTCTACCTTTGCTTCCCTGATAAATCAGCTCACACACAGCTTAATCACACTACTGCCACTTAGTTGTTTTACCTGCTTTTAGGTTTATAGTTTTGCATTTCCTCTGATTTTTCTTCTCTTCTGTTTCTTTTCTTTTTCATCTTAGTTGTTAAGCTTAGGATTTCCCTATTCTTCTTTTATGCCCTGATCCCTTTCTGCCTTCTTTTGCATTTCTATTTTTTAAATAACCACATTTCAATTCATTATCTCCTTCTTTGCACCTGGGGCCTAGTAGACTAAAAATAAAAATATGAAGTTGGTCATTTGCACATGATGAATAATACTAAAAGCCTTAATTAAATAAACCTAAATTTGAGATAAAGTACCCTACATAAAAAAAATGAAAAGAAAAATATAGACTTTTTATAACCGTATTAAATTCTTCTTACAGGAAAGGTAAAAGAGCATATAAATATTATATTTAGAAATATTCTATTTTATTTTCGGGCGCTGCTTAGATAAAAACTGAATTTCAGACAAAATGTTAGACAATATTCTAACACTAGAGGGCAGGAGAGCCTTTGTGACAGAAGACCTGGAGCCAGACAGCTCTTCAGGAGATGCAGGAACCTTTTTTATGTCTGCTTTATAGGTTGCACTCAACTTGAAAATAATGTCTTGTCATCAGAAGAGGCCAGACTCATTGGGTGTTTAGTCTGTATTTTAACTCCAATGTTTCGATACATAATTAGGTGTAATAATCATGATATGGTTGATATATGAGCAAGCGACCAACTGCATCATTACAAAATGTGGATGATGGCCCTGTTTCTTACATAGAGATAGAATTGTACTGGTTCTGTGTCACAATATCTTGAAAAAGAAAAAAAAAAAAAAAAATATATATATATATATATATATATATATATATATATATATATATATATATATATATATATATATATATATATATATATATATATATATATATATATATATATATATATATATAGAGAGAGAGAGAGAGAGAGAGAGAGAGAGAGCTGCTTTAAGGAACGATTGACCCCCTATCCATCCATCCATCCATCCATCCATCCGTCCATCCATCCATCCATCCATCCATCCATCGTTAGTCAGATTGGATTAATTGTGATAACAAACTAAACTGTGTACAGTCTGATTCAGAACATTTTTATGTTAAATTTAAAAGCTTATAAACACCATAACAGATATTGACGGTTGATTATCTCGAGGCTTAACGTTAAATATTTGACTGCTGTTTGTTGTGGTAGATAATTCAATTGGGACCACATTTTCAGTCCATATGAAATTAATTTGATGTGACGTATGTCCTAAGCAGCTCTGCTCATGCAATCCTCTCAATATTTATAGGGCATATAAATAAATTTCAGTCATGCATTTTTTTAGGAATGCTTTTTTCAGATCAGAAATTAGCCTTAGTGTGTAGCATATTTTATTATCTAATAGAATGACAAGGGTTTGATTTACATTGCAAATTTTGTTGGATCATTACACAGATTTGTGCTAGAATTTGCTGATCTGGCCGTCTTCATGTTTGCGCATTTATTAATCAGATTCGATATAATTAAAGAAAACGCTGATGCTTTCTTCTGAATTTCGATGTGTGGGGTTTGCGCAGTATCCGCACAGCAGGATTTTTGCTGCTCCATCGGCTGCAGACGAGTGAAACAAAAGGCTACAGATTTCAGCACCAAAGCAGGTGGACAGCGCTTCTGCAGGCAGCCTGAGTTGGGATGGACAGCTCCCACTGCTTTCTCACACATCAACACACACCAGGAGCATTCAATGCACAGATGAAACAGAAATTTTCTTACGTATTATCGCTTTATTGATAGAAAAAAAAAACTCAGACAGTACACAATTATAAATTTGTTTTAATACAGTTCAATGATTTCATGATGTCGAAGAAGTGAGGATCATCTCTTGGCATTCACCGCGTGCCTTAATTGTAAGACATTAAATCAAGGTCCGCTGTGAACACGGAGAGACGCAACCCGCTGTTCTGAGCTGGGCTTGCACAGAAGCAAAGCACTGCGGTTACTTTGTTTTGAGAAAAAAGGAGAGGAAATTTTCAAGAAACCTCTTCCCGCACCTGTAACCGTACTATTCCGCTGCCGGCCTGCAGACGGAATATAAGGAATAAGACTTGAAACATATAACATTCCTGTTCCCTTTTTTTGGTCTTTTTGCATAGGCTTTCCTATATGTACTGATGCATTTACTTAAAGAGGTTAGGTTACGACATAAATAAGACTTTTCTGTTGGAAAAATCATTATGTCCATGGCAGCTTTTGCAGGAAGGAGTTTCGTGTTTAGTGTCCAAAGCTGGAGACAACATAGATGTCCTCCATTATCCCATAATGTCACCTACGGAAGAAAAAACAAACAAGCATATTTCTCCATGAGCCACAAATGAAATTGCAAATCATCCACAGTCACAGATAAGAAAAAAAACTGTCAGAAAAACAAACTTAAAAACAAATCGATCTTTCCCATTAATTCTTAGACGATCTTGCGAATCTGGAAACGGGGCAGCAACTGCGGAATCCTCATCTTCTCTTTTTTTTTAAACGCGCAAAATAACGGAGGCGAGACCGAACAGTGCGCACTGACACCTGGTAAATGGGACTGATCTTCTCCCCGTTCGAGCCCCCCACCCCCCATCCAGACCCATCTGACTTTGGGATTAACGTTCTTCCAGCCAAACAAATGAGGAATCTGCCTTCAGCGGAAAAGGATTGGGATGACGGGCAGAGAGGGGGTGGGGGGGTTGGTGACGTCACTAGGCAAACAGATGTTTCTCTATATTACCCAGAGTCCCCTCTTCATCACCTAACCTGCGTCCTTGAAACCAGGAGGGACATTTTCACCCCCCAACACTATACTTCAGGTTCATGTGAGATTATGTAGGATGGAATCCATCTTCCCAGTTCTGCACCAGCTTGGAGCAGCTTTGGTGCGAAGTCCAAAACCTGGCGCTGGGCTGCGCACAGTTATGCAACATTGCACTATTGGAGGAAAAAAAAAAATGGGAACACTTGAGAAGCGCTCACGCTAACACAGGCTTGTTTGAGCATGCGCACACGCACATGTCCATGTACTCCCTCGCATACAGTGATGAAGGGAGGGATGCTTGGAGGGGAGCAAATGCTGCATTTTGGGTTTGATGTGACGAGCTGTACAATCAGTGACATTCAGTGAAACGTTAACCTTATTGTAATATCTGGTATTAGAAGAGTATAGAACGTCCTAATGGAAGACAAATCAGCTGTTATTCGTATCATTTAACTAAAGAAACGCGCATCCCGTTTAAATCCAACTGTATACACTTGAATTTTCGTATTAAAACAAACCAAATATCAAGAAGGTCTGTGCTTTCTTTAAGTGACCAAAATTCTTAGTACATTGAGGAAAGCGTTTCTATATATTCCAAAGAAAGGGCAAAAATCACCTGCACTGTGGATAAAGAGGCGCAGGGATATTGCATTGAATACTGTAACTGCCATAGAGAGGAGACGGCTATAGAAACAAAGGGAAGCGTCGTTTTTTTCAGTCTAAGAGATGCCCCCCGTCCTGTCCAAATAATGTCATCCCTGTTTTGGATTTGAGGTCTCTGACCACCCAAAGGGGAAGTGAGAGAGGGGGTAAAGAAGAAAAAAAAACGACTCTATTGTCCTGAAGCACTGCGATGCAGCTCATGAAAACCACTATCCTATTTCAGCTCTTTTTATACATCATGCAACCGCCGAAATGAAATGATGTGCGGCTAAAGCCTGTGTGGGTTTGCTCGTGTTTGATCGATTTTTGCACATGAAACGCTTTTATTCCCGAGAGTCCGCAATAACAATGGCAAGTGCAGCGGAGAGCAGGGAACACAGGACCGTTATGTTCCGAGACATCTCCACATCCCCGTTATTTCTTTCACTTTAAAGACATTAAAAGAACAATTAAAGCCCCCCAAAAAAGGTAAAATCGACTCATAAATAATTGATGCATGAAGATACTCACCATGAAGCGGTCCGCGCCATATGGTGGATCCCAGCACAATGAGCGCATATGTATCCGCTGGTTTTCTCACTTAATTTGCGGCATTAGTAGGATTACTTCCCCCTTTCATCACGGAGGCTTGTATTCCCGGTTTTTGTGCAACGGCAAGTGAGCGAGAAAAGCACAGACTCCGTTTGGCGAGGAGGTTCACGCTACCAATGAGAGCAACGCTATAGCCTCTGCAAAGCATGGCTGCGTTTTCTCGCCCCTCAGTTTTTTTCAGAAGAGGGCAGGTCGTTGTGTGCATTACAATGAGTTAAATCTCTCTCTCTCCCCCCCTCTCTCTCTTCTGCCTTTCTCTCTCTCTCTAAACGCAAGCGCGTTCCTGGCGTTTATACTCTGAAATGTTCGCTCTGTAAGTCCTGTATTCTATATTTTATAGAACATATCTGCACGTTGAACGGGTCTCTATTTGTCAACCCTTACGATATGCAATACTTTTTGATGGCAATGATGCAAAGTCCCATATTTAGTCTTAATATTTAATCATTTGCATGAAATCTAATGCGAGCTGCACGGATTTCTTAGTCTTTTCCTCATGTGGAATTTAGGATGTTTTGCTTTTTTAACATCTTAGGGTTTTTATATATTTATTTACTTTTTTGCGATTATTTGCCTGTTTTGGATTACAATATATATGTATGCTGCAGATCTTCAGTGTTTTTGCATCAGCCAGCCACCATTGCATGCACCCCAACTTCAACAAATTGTTAGCAATTTACTCATTGGCATCACGCTAAATTCCCATAGGACTGATACAGAAAAAAAGTCCTATATGGGAATCAAACCCATTTTTAGATTAGATCACATGGGAAATAACTGATGTGATCTAAAGACCCAATTAAGGTGCAACTAATCAGGTCCCCAATTGTCTTAAGTCCTGTATTTAGTGAACTTGGGTGGTTCCGGAGAGGTTAATCAAACCCCAGGTTTACCTGCATCCTATTTGGGACCACTCCAGACTGAGCAACATGTTTATTAATCTTACAAACTGGTTTGCAAAAATTTTTTTTATTAAATTTTGAAATTACAAGAAAAAACCTAAACACAATAAGATGCATAAGGGAAAATGGAAATGAAACACATATGTCAAAACCTTGTATGAAAATCTGAAAAGAACTCTACCTGAGCAAGTCTGAGTAAATTGTTTGTGGAACCACAGTTTGCTATAATTTTACTTGCAAGTGTACGATTGCATGTGGTTTCGAAATTAGAGACTAAAGGTTCTCCCCATTTTATCTTTTTAGAAGAGCTCAAGCTCAGTCAGACCAATGGAGAGAAGTGTGGGCAACAGTTTTCCAATCAGAAATAAGTCTGGACCATTCTAAAACAATAACAATTTTATACTTCTCATTCCACTGTATCTGACTGAATCATCTGAGGCTATGGCCCAGTTATAAGGTGAACCTCTTTCCCAGACTAAAGTCTTTTTTTAAGCCTCCATATAAGTGTGCTCCACACTTTACAGATTTGATTTGTAAAAAAAAAGTGAAAAAATATCCATCCCTTGCATGTCATGTCTTACTGCTCACCACTTTGATTTGACCCATCAAATAATGTTTTGATTAGAAAAGAAAAAACACTCCATAACATTTATAACAGTAGCTACACAATGGGTATTAAATGTATATTTGAATTTCAGCAAGCCACTGTTTTGCATGCTGGTTGTAGGATCTTCCTGCATCAGTCATTGTTTTCTATAAGGATAAAATATCAAAGCTTTGTGTATTTCCAATAATCCTATTTTTATGTCGCTGCCTAAGAAGGCCTATCAGTTGTTTCAGTTTTCATGGGCTACCTTTTAGCTTATCCTGGCTATTATGAATAAAATAAGCAAATAGGATAATAAACAAAATGGTTATAAGCAAAAATACTCAAACTAAAAGAAGAAGAAACTATAAGGTGTTAACTGATCAAAGGATTTTTACCCCCTTCTCTTCTTACACTGACTGCCAGCTATATGTCCAGTAGATGCCATGGTCCATTCATTTTTATTTGAACAAGCTCCACAGCCCTCCAGTAAACAGAACACACACTAACACACAAAGTTAAAAAATATTGTGCATTAAAAAAATCTGCAGGTTTTGCATCAGTATATGGCACTCTGTCCCCCACTCTCTCTGTTTCACTGATAGCCTTAGAAAAATCTACTGTGCAGTGATGCAACATTTGCGTGTGATGCAACATGAGCGATCACACCACTAAGAGTGTTAACGTTTTGTCGACATTTCTTTTCTCTTTTTTTTTTCTTTATTTTGAAGGGTAGGAGGGAAACTCTGCTCTGACTTGCGTCAGGAAGCACATAGAGGGAAGTTTAAAAGCTGTTTTTTTCTCTTGCAGCGAGCTGGAGGACTAGGAGGAGGGGACTCACTGCTATTGTTCCTCCTGAAACAATGAAAACTGCGGGGTGACATGCAGCGGTGCGCACATAAATGGTCACCGACGTGGGGGGGTCAATGGCCCTGGGGTCACCATTCCCAGCGCCTTACAATGCACCCCGCGCAAGGCTGGGGCTGCAAGGGTCAAAGGCCAGCTCCGCTTTTGTCCTGCACTTCAAAACACATAAACATTTATTAATCAAGAGCCCGGCGCTGGGCCCCCTTTGGTAGAGAAAAAAAAAAAAAAAGAATGAGGGAGAAGAGGGGTGTAAGGAGGGGAAAGGGAGAAATAACCACTGTAAGCAGAAGCACATTCCATCATTTGGGCAGAAGTTTGAAAAAGTTGTAGCCACTGGTAGAAACCTTTGGATTTTGTTTGCTGAACTTCTGCATAAAGGAACCGAATATGTGTTGTTTCAGAAACATTTTCATCTTAACACGAAAGGAACATATGGGGGGCAGCCGATTTTTTAAAATGGATTTTTGAAGAAAATAACAAAGGATGCAAGGAGCGCCACGGGAACCTTCTGCGGTTTAAAAAAGCGCAAAAACTGGAATAATCTCCGACAAGCCAGGAGTACTGTCTCTTTTATTTTTCATTTTAAGGGCCTTCCTCTGCAGCTTGATCCTTTCATCGAACGTTTATCAATTCTCTGTTTATATTTAGATTCTTAAAAAAAGGTATATGTCGTCTGTTTGTGCGTGTTTTACCACATCGACATGCGTCCTTGTTGGTTTGTTTCCAAGTCGCTGCGAGGAGCTGGTAACCGGATCTAAAGGTTAATGCCGACTCTTGCAGCATAATGCATGGAGAAAAAAGCTGCATGATGTGCGCTCTGCAGCCTGATAAGCTGTCGTGACGAGATGCGTTTATTACTCCCGCCTTATGTTTTGGGAGGCCTCCCCCAAGCAACAACAGAGCCTTAATGTGAGCTTTCATAGGTTTGGACTGGTCTTTTTCTCTTTCTTAAGACGTAAACACAGGCTTAATTCATTAGCCGTTATTTTATCTATCTATCTATCTATCTATCTATCTATCTATCTATCTATCTATCTATCTATCTATCTATCTATCTATCTATCTATCTATCTATCTATCTATCTATCTATCTATCTATCTATCTATCTATCTATCTATCTATCTATCTATCTATCTATCTATCTATCTTCTAGGAGAAAAAACTATATATATGTTTTTTGCAAATAAAAAAGCTGAAAAATGTAACTATGTGTAGTTTGCATAATATGTATAAATTAGTAATATGTATATATCAATGTATAAACACCTACATACAATGGAAATACACTAGTATTCAACAAACTATCATTTTGTTTTTGCTGCTACTTTGAAACAGAATCTACATCTCTAATATTAAAGGAACAAAAATAAACACTATGCATGCATAGCCAAGTATTTTTAATATTTGTTGTTATTTGTTCTGCAAATAAAGAAGTTCATTTAAAATAAACATCCCAATTTCTTTGTATATTACGATATATTCAGGAATTTTAAAGAAAAAAAAAATATGGTTGTAATGCAGTTTTGTGTTATGAAGTTGTATGATAAAAAAACAAAACAAAACATGTATGTTAGATAAGGTTAATCATATACATTTAGAACTCCACTCATTTTACAGCCCAGGACTGCAAATCTCTGCTTCTGTCTTTAAAGATGTGACATTTTTGGGATTTCTTCTCCTTTCTCTGCACTTCCAAAATCCTGATGTGAAGCTCTTCTGCATGCTCCACCCAAGAAGGGACGGTGCATTCCCCATGCTAGCACCACACACCAAACGGCAGTTGTTATTTCATGGTTGCGTGCAAGCAGAACCAGGTCAGCTGTACTGGTTTGCAGGCCTGTTTGCCGTGTCTGTGGCATTCGCCTCAAAGTGTTTAAGACAAAGAAATTTGTATTTTTCCCCAAATGGTGAATAATTAGACCTTTTGCACATTTGATAGTTAAAGATAATTATGATGTGTGTAGAGCAATGTATTTTGCTAAGGAGGTAAAACAATTTCCTGACATAGCACAGAAAACCTTTCTCATCAGTTACTACGCTGTAACTGTCTTGGATAAGATTATACCGCTCGCTAAATAAACATTAAAAGGTTGCCTATGTAATTTCAGATATGGATACTTTTTACTCAGGTAGTGCTTTGTGTGAGTAAAGTACAGATGAGTGTGTTTTGAACCTTCCCCCTATGACATTAGTAGGGGGTCAAATGTGCATGTAGGGCAGCGGGCTCTCCACCTCCCCTCTCTCTGTGATGTTAAATGTCAACCAGCAGCATCCACAGAAAGCGAGGTGAGCCTCTATTCTCATGCTTATGCCAGGAGATCATCATATCCAACTTCTGAAGACAAAATTCTGCTCCAAGGAGGCAATTTAAGCTTTAATGGAAGGAAAATTTATAGAACAATATTTCTAGCATTAGTGAAGAGAGACTGGTGGAAGAGCTATGTTAATTTAAAAAAGCTAGTTTATCTTGATTTCTTCCAGAAATGGCTGTTTAGACCAATAAAGGTGAAAAAAGGTGCTTCATTTGGCCTGTTTAGATAATACTAAAGTTAAACTTATCTCCCTGGAAATGATTCATTTCTAATATTTTATTGGAGAGCTCCTGTTTCATTAACTTTAGCAAAAAATAGCAAAAATGTGCCAAAAAAAGCAACATCTAAATCTAATTTCATAAAACAAAATGAATATTACATGCAACCAATAGAGTGTGCACAGATTTTTTGTTAGGATATAATGCCCCCCAGGGTTATGAGAATGATTGCTATCCTGGCAGTTATCTAACGGTCTGCCAGGGTCACCCTCTAACAAACGTGTAAGCCATAAAATGTAACTGCTAAATATTAGTGCTGTTTACAAAGCATTGTATCCATTCATATGATTACAAAGTTTAGTAGAAGGAAGAATTGTGTTAAGCAGGATTTATATACAATATGTCCATATATAACTACCAAAACCTGGTTGACTAGCCTTGGTATCACTATAGCAAATTGCCTAGAAAACTAGCCTGACTTAAACTTAATTGGAAAGCTATATTGTCAAGAGGATGAAGAGAGACAGCAGAGTCAATCATGATAGAGGTGTCTGCAAAGCTACATACACTTCAATTCAATGAGCCATAATCATTTCAAAGAAAAAAATAACTTGCTAATAATAAAGATAAAATTTTAAATATTGCTTCTCAATTTTACTATTTGATACTAGCCACACTTAATTTAGTTGGTAGAATTCCTGATGTAAAGCTGCATAGACTGCAGAAGCATGCTCACTAAGGACTAGACAGGAGTCAGGACCTGGTGCTGCACTTCCTCTGCTTCCTCTAATAGAAAACCCACTGAAGCCCAATCAGCAGGTCTGTTCTCAGCCCTGTAAGTGGATTTTTCTTCTCCCCTCATACCCCCAAGGTTTGTGAAATGGGGGTCAATGGGTCTGTTATTGTTTTTCTCTGCCTCTTTATCCCCACATTGCTCTGTGATGTCAACAGTGAAATGACAGAGAAAGCAGAAAGAGTGGGAAACAGCACAAAGAGGAAATAACAGCTATTATGGCTTCAATGCATTTTCACTCTCAACAGTGTTTACAATTGTACTTAGTCTGCAGAGGTGCATCTCATTTGCAGGTTATCCTTGCTAACCTTTCAATGTGAAACAGAATATTTGGTCTGAAATGCTGCATATTATTTTTTTGTTGGTTGTCTGTCTGAAGCAAACCAGCATCGTACCATTGCATTCAGTGAAACTAGAATATCATTGACAAGGTGGAGTTTTATTCCTGCGTCTCTGCAGCACGATCATTGCACTAAAGCACTACCATAAATTTCTTCTTGATGTAATTGTATTAATGCAGCGGGTAACGGATGAGTGTATGTTTCACAATGATTACTAACCCCTCTCTCTCTCTCTCTCTCTCTGGCTGTATGTCCTCGCTGCCTTCCCCATCGCCTGCCTGACTATCGGAATGGGAACGTGCGCCTCGAGTTGATGCTGATTGCAGCAGCTGCCAACACATGAATCTCCATGGCAACAATAACGGTTGCCCAGCAACCGCAGTCTTTTAGGGACACTGAAAGAAGCCTAAAGGCTTACTAAAAATATATACGTGGGTATGGTGCTTCTTGAACGCAATGACTGACTGCTGAGAGGGGGGAAGCTCAGAACTATTAAAATTCTTTAGGCCGTACAGGAGATGCTTTCCTGCCTTCAGCTACAGTGATGTTGTTTTACTATGAGCTCCAAATGGCAGCTGCAATCATCGATTCCTTCCTTGGCATTAACTGCGTCACCCTTAACTATACATGTATATATATATATATATATATATATATATATATATATATATATGACAAGAACTGGGGCAACTGTCGGCCATCTTGGCTGCTGCATCCAGCTCCTCGATGCAGCTCGCGCAGGTGTCATGCGCAAGCGCTGAGGAACAAAGCATTCCATCAGCAATGGTGACATCACTGCAGTCAGCTCAGCTGTTTCTGCTTGCTGCTATAAATAGTGTGGTGGAAACGGCAACTCCTGACCTGAAGCTGGGAGAGAATTGATTTCCCTTTTTCTTTTTCTTTTTTTTGGCAGGAAGTTAACTAAATCTTCTTCACTTGATTGGTTAATCAAAAGAAGTGTTTGTGAATGCTTTTTAAGTTTTCACAGTAATTTCTAAAACTATGAGGCTCATATCCATTTAGCTTAAAATATGGGTTTGTGGAACCTTAACTAGGACATGTATTTCTCTATTAACTTTGAGGAAGAAAGAAAATGTAGATCAACATGCTAAAAGTGGCTTTTTTTCTCCTCAGGACCTCATAAAGGACTTAATCCCACTAGAATATAATCCCCATATTTTATGTAATATCATTGCACATCTAAAAATATCTAAAGTTGATGATTTTCTTTATTACAAATAGCCAGATAGATTTGATAAATACTTTTTTTATTAACAATATTAATGCGCTGCCAGATTCTTAGTTATTTAGATATATACTCTAACTTGGCCATGCAAGCAGATCAATTATTCCATCATAATAACTAGTCTGTTACAGACCATTGTGTTTAGATTTGCTGTCCTAGGGTAAGGTGGACCCTTTGCTTCAGTCTCAATTCTTTTTCAGCCTCTGATAGGTTTTCTTTATAGACTTTATCTAACTTTATTCCTTGTCCCTGCTATCATCCCCACATCATGACGGCACCAACACCCTGCTTCACAAGCTATGTTTTCATCCAATTCCTGATGCAGCGTAATGCTGATGTTACACTTGACTGCAATAAACATGAGGGAGAAGTAGAAAGCTAGTGCAGCCTTGATCAGTTATGGGGCAAAGTTTTAATGAATGTGTTGCAATCGGGCAAGTTGGGCTTACTTTATCATGTCAGCCAGTTTTAGCAATATTAAATGCTATTTTGAGACGTTGATAAAGAAATGCAATTCTAATGGTTGCCTTTAGGGTAGGAGGGTACCAGCAGAACAGCTAATCAGTAATGTAATCTAAATGTTTGCTACATTAGAATTTATTTGGTAAATGTGTTTCCATCTCATCTTTATCTTCAAACTACTTTTTTATTTGACCAGAGCACCTTCCTCCATATTTTTGCTGTATTAATCATAAAGCTTGTAGCAAAACTTAAGGGGAAATGATCTTTCATCACCTATTTCAATCCTGC